GATGCGGCGGTGCGCGGAAGTGGTGAGATAGTGAGATCGACGTCACCGGCGAGCGACATACCAGGGTAAACGATGGCCTCCACGCCGAAGACGGAGAAGCACACAGGTAAGATAACCACTACCCGTTTAACGACGACTGAGAGCGAGCGAGCGAGAGGGAACGAGCGCGCGCGCGAGAGAGAGAGAGAGAGAGAGAGAACGAAAAGAGCGAGCGAGTGAGAGAGACGGTGAGAGAGGGCGCGTACGCGATAAGCATGCGAAACCGCGCGACGTTCCTACCTTCTTCCCTTGCGAGGCTCCGGATTCTTTCTGAATAAAAAAAAAAATAAAAGAAAGAAAGAAACGAATGTGTCGCGTCGCGTGATCGCAATCTTATCGCTTGACGTTGATCTTGATTCTCGCTTATCGGCGCCGCCGGTATCTCAAACTCGGCCGACTTACCGAAAGCGTATGATATAATCGGTGGCGTTAACCTGACGACGCTACCGGATGCGAAACGTCAAAAGCATATGTGTACCGCATGCACGCATGATTTTTTTCCTGTTTCTCTGAGGAACGAGGTGCCTCAGAATATATCCGTCGATATTCCTACAGTTGCGTTTTATTCGGGAAATCCGACGTATTTACGATAATGACAGACCTGTCAAAGAAAAAAAAAGAGGAAAACACAATCGGTTTGCTTATTCACGAGGAATTCTCTCTCTCTCTCTCTCTCTCTCTCTCTCTCTCTCTCTCTCTCTCTCCGCGATCGTTTCTGCTCGCATGCTCGCATTGAGAACAAGGTGCGCCAGGAATCTTGATTTGTTGTGTCCTGGTTCTAATATGCGTCTAGTGATTTCGTGTTCCTTCCCAATTAGTCAGCTCCTGCCATAATCGAGCATACCGACAACTTGGATCAACCCATTCTAGGCAGCAATTAAACTTTGTTTTTTACAATGGAAAGTGATATTACTCTTTTACTTCAAAAGTGATAACGCAAAAAATTAAGTTTTCCTCACACTGAAAATAAGTATCTTAATTACAAAGAAAAAATTTCTTTGAAAATAGGATATTATACAATATCTTATTTTCAAAGAAATTTTCATTGATCCAAAGAAATAATTTTTTACGAGCAAAGAAATATTTCTTTGAAATTAAGATTGTTTTTTTCAGTGCAGAAATGGAAAATATTTTCAACTTAACAGAAAATTAATAACTATTCAAATCGGTAAAACGAATATATTATTAATATAATCGAATGTCATTTGTGTTTTTGTTTTCATAACCCTTTAAAAAACCACCTTTTTTTAATGACACTTTGACAATTGTTTATGAAATTAAATTCACTTTTGATAAATGATAGGATAATGTTTACTTAATTCATTAACGATAATTACTTGAAAAATCATGTCTTTTTTTAGTTGTCATTTTTTAAGGGAGCGATATGTAGTTAGAAATAGATTAGACAAAGTTATATCGATAGCTTGAGCCAATTCATTCGAAGCAGACAACATTGTTTTCTACGATAGAAAGGAAAAAAGATATTTAATTGGAAATAGATTAGACAAAGTTATATCAATAGCTTGAGTCAATCCATTCCAAGTAGACAACATTGTTTTCTACGATAGGAAGAAAAAGAGACAATAACTAGTTAGAAATAAATTAGACAAAATTATACCGCTTGGATTAATCTATTCGAATCAGACAATTCAACTTTGTTTTTTATGATAAGAAGAAAAGAAAAACACAATATTTAGTTAGAAATAGATTAGAGCCCCCCCCCCAAAATTGCAGTCGAGGGTTGTAAACGAGCAATTTTCTTTGAAAAGCGTAATTAAATTCATCAAGATTTGATTTTGAACGTGATACTTTAAACGATAATTACGCAAATAAGTAGCTCTCGCTTTTTGCGAGAATGCTCTGATGTTTTTCCAAGGATCGTGATCCAGCTGTTTTCACAAGATGACAAGTTTTCACGCCGATCTTTATTTGCAAGTGCGCGAAAAATGTTGAAATATCATAAAAAGGACCAACTTTAACAAATCTAAATGTAAAAGCGAAACTTATATAATTTCCTTTTTATGTTCAAGGAACTCATAATGAGCTAATTAAACTTTATTGATTTATTTATTATATTAATTATTATATAACTCACGTGATTTTATCGTAATTTGATAGACAATATGTTGATTTCATTCGCTGACTCTAAAGATAGCAATTTCTGTGGAGACTCCAGAAAGAATTGAAATAAAATAACAGATTAGAAGGGGAGCTAAATATCAATTTAAATATCTGTGATTTTCGGCTTCAAGGCTGTCTCCTCTTTTTCTCGTGGAGAATTTTTTAGTACAGAATCGTATTGGCGGTAATAGCCAGTGGAGTGTGTCAACAAACTTTACACCCGTCCAGGCAGACCAGGGTCGTGATTCGAACAGCTGGCCGTGTCACGAGCTTTTCATCCCACAATTCTCCCCTTCCGAACAAAGACCTATCCCATCTTGTCCCTGGTCTGACCTGACCGAGAACGACTGTATTTTTCGTGGCGATTACGAGTCCTTTCTCCCTCTGCTCTCGTTGGCTGCTCTCTTTCTTGGATACCACGAACACGCCCCTTATACATTTCTCGTTTTGTTGTCGTTTCCTCTTTCGTTGAAGACGCGGCGTTCTTTTGACTTCGCGCAAACTTGTTTTTTTTTAAATCGTCATTTTTTGCAGTCCATAAAGTCTTATATCAGACTAGAGATTGAGTTTAAGATTGAGTTTGACCAATATCAAAGTTTTCTAAATTTGATATTGATTTTCTTTCTTTTGATTGGTTAAATTGAGTCTCAATCTCAATTTCTAGTCTGATACGGCTATGAGACAAATTTAGATTCTTGGAATTTGGAAAAAATCGCAATTATATTCGGACATTCATATGAAAAAATAAAGTATGGCTAATTCATCAATTGTCACATTTTTATTTTGCATTTTTAGTGACATAGAAAAATAATTAATGATTAATTAATGATATAAAACGTAAAAATCGGGGATTGACAAATGAAGATCGTGGTAAGAATTAATTATATAAATACAAATATAATAATAAATTAATTATATTCTAGATGAATGTAATTAGTAATTGAAGGATTGATTGTAGCAATGAGCTAATCCACAACGTAGCCGAAAATGTGATATTGGTAGAAATAAATGAATGACAGAGGCTTCTATTTGTCCCAAACGTTTTCATAAGATGTGAATTATTACAGTAAGCCCTTCAATTTAACGTAATTTTCAATTCCTTCGGTGGAACAGTTCGGATTTATAAATAAAGTGGCAGCTAATAGATCATAAATAAAAATAGCAGTTAATTGTGTCTTACAATTAGTTAGTAATTTAATATTATTTAATATAACATTCGATTTCTTTAGTAGAACAAGTTTCCATGGAAGAAAATAATTATTTAAAATTTTTACAATAGAGAGAGAGAGAGTTAATATTTTAATATTTTTAATGTGCAATACCGATATATGAATATATAAATTTAAACTCTTCGTTGAATATCATATTTGACGTTTACAATGTACATGCTATTGTAAAAATTGCATTGTCAAATTGTCAATATTTCAGACATGTGTGATATTTCACTCTTGTGTCTTAAAAAATTTCTCATTATGGCTTTGTAATAACGTCCGTAATGCTAAAAGAAAAATATTGGAAAAGTATTCATTTTTCCATAACACACGTGCAAGTTCGTGCTGTGTCGCATACAAAATTGCGAACTTTCTATTAGAAGCAGATATAACGTCGGATCTATTAGACGACTAGATTTTGATAATACACAATGTAACAGGTGTAGCTTATCAGAGCTGATACGTTCGACCTCGAAGGGATATATAACGGACAAAGGCACCTAAGTAAGGGTAGTTCGATCAATTTGCCGAACAAAACTAACAACAATAAATCCTATCTGCTTCACGTAATTGCGTTTAATCGAGTTGCTCTATTCGCTGCATCAATCGTAACGTGTTTGCCGGTGCGGACTTTACTTTTTTTTTTTTGTTCGTTGTGTTCTCTGCGTTTTCTCTCTTGAATGAATTAGCTCGCGTTCAATCGCTCCGAGCAAAACGCGGAAGCATTATTCCGTATTTTGAGATTTTCGAAGTTTTTAATCGAGAATATATACGGGGTAAATTTCATTATATCCAGAAAATAGCTCGATGGAAAAAAATCTCCAATATTTTCATCGCTTGCGGGCGTAGCCGATTGTCGAATATATTTCGCTTGAAATCTCATTTTGAACAATAAATACCATATAATATCTTTTTCTCTCTCTGAAATAGAGAGGAATACTGTATTACATTGTGATTTTATTGGCCGGTGCTACAAGTGAGATCACTGATAAATCCGTCGCATAACCGCGATGTAGTGTCCTCTGAATGGCGGACTCATTAAATTTCTAACTAGGAGAGGGTTGGATATAGTCGCATTGAAATAATTCTATAGTGGCAAGTGCACTACGTTGTGCGGGAAACGTATGACGACGCTGTGCGATGCCATTGAATGCCTCGTCCCGAGATTCGAGTAATCTTACACGGGAGAGGCGGAGTGCAGAAGGTGGAAGCACAGCGAGATCGGGATCTCGTCGGATCCTTCGTCTCTGTTTCGTTGCTATTGTGCTCATTATAGCCTTTGTACACGGCTGCTTTAGTCGCGTTGCTGCCTAATCCGTAGACTCCTTTCTTCATTACTGCGACTCTGCTTTCGTTAATATCCGTCGCTAAAAACCTTTTCATACTTGCAAGATAAAAATTCTCGAAATTCCCTCGCTTCGTTTCTAGATAAAAGATAGACTGTCCGTCGGGGATAACGAATCGTTTATATAAATGCGAGAACGACGAACCTTTCTATTTAGTATTTATGATGAAAACGGTAACGTGCGACTCGTATATTCTTTATAATTGTTCGTAAGACAAGCATAATGATTCTAAAGTATGCATAATGAATAGTTAATTGCATGTATAGAAAGAGTTGGGAATACGATAATGAATACCGTCTTCGAATAATTTATGGGCATTTATAGTAAATAACTTAACAAACGAAAAAGGCTTCACTCGAGGTAATCGTTGAAATAATTAATAAATTTTTTTAACCAAAATTAACATTAATGAAAAAAATTACGTAGCATGTAGTAAATAACTGTAAAAATTATTTTCTGCATAAGTTTATATATATAGCAATTATATATAAATTAATGGTTGTTGTATGTTTTTATTTTAACCCGGAATTTTTCAGATATTTTATTTATCGTTAACTGTACTGACAAAAATATAATAAATATTTATTTGAATAGTTCTAAATAAGTACTGACTAAATATAAATATATATTTATTTTGATACAAAAATCATTAATTTGATTTAACTTTATTTTTTAAAGTATGTTTATTTATAGTATTATTCAAAGAAATATTATTAAGATTTATTGAATTTTTGTTCAGTATGCGAAAGAGAAATATTCAGAAATAAAGGAATGGAGAAATCTAGTCTACATATAAAGAAACGTTTTCAAACATTCAAACGGTATTACAGTTGCAATTAGCGTGGCATGTGATGGAACATGCTTTCCTCGATATAAACTCTATTACCGCAATTATTGCGCTCTATAAATTTTCATTAATTTGACGCGATATCAAAAGAGTACAAGGAATGCTTGAAAAACGGAAATGTCCATTCGGTCTTCCGCTTCCTCGTCATCGCCGATATATTGCATTTAAAATTTATCACTAATTTGCATGCAAAATACGATCCACTGGTGCAATATATTTTATGACTCTCCATAAAATATTTTTGATCTATTTTGAAAAGGAAATTTCTTTTAGCACTTGAGTTTAACGACACGAACATTATATAAATCCCGTTAAGATCTCCGGTTTGCAGGAAACGCGATTTAAAAGTTATAATGAGTATTCATAAAATCGAGGTCTTCATAAAATAGATATTAATTAAATAACGTGCATACTAACTGCTCTTCTCGGTCTATAAAAATTCTATACGTTACCCTTGCACTTTCTTTTTTCCTAATTTAACCTTTCTTTGGAAGACTTGAAGAGATTATTTTATAATTCTATACTGCGAGAGAGACAAACATCGCGAGAAACATAATAAGTACAAACTAAATAAATATATTAAAAATAGAAAGGAGATATTTTTTCTATTGAAACACAAAATGTACGTTTTTTTAATTATTAATAATTCAACAATGAACTTTTCCCCGTCTATGAAACGTATCAAGGTTTATTCCAGGAAAAATAGTCTCTCTCTTAAAAAGATTGTCATTACGCTCATTCTTGCGAGGCAATCGTGGCCGCTTCGCAATATTTCGATTTCATTCTGCAAACGACTATGCTTCGCAATATTTCTGCGGTACACACGTGATTTAGCTCCTTTATTGGATTCGATCTGTCCGCGCGAGCCGTTTAGGAACCGCAATCATGCGCAGTCAGCCTTCCGTTCCTCCGGCGATCCGATCTGCCAATATCTATGCAAATCCACGGCCGAGTGGTACAGGCCTCGTGTCAACCAAGCCGATGATGCAGAGCCCGTGCCAGAAACACGCAACGCCAACGCCGACGATGCATATAACGCGGTAACGTTAACTCAACTATTCATTAATATGCAACCGTTTTCGCGTTACGTTACGAACGCGTAAAACAAAAAAGGAGACAAGAAAAAAAATGCATGCGCGTGTTAAAACTGGTTCATGCACGTGTTACCGTTCGTTCTGCTCGCTGTAACGCCTCGATTTTTATTCTTTAATTTCGTTGGATGTATCTCGTCGTGATTTCGAAATGATTACGTTAAAGGGAAGATAGAAACTTGAAATATCTGATACCGATAAATAACAGGTACTTTTTTTCGTAAAAATATGTATAAAAATATAAGCTTGCATATGTCTTTGATAGATCATATATTTTGTTTTATTTACGTTTTAAATTTAAAATGTATCCTATGCATTGTAAAAATTATTTATAATGCATAAAATTTTTATTATATTTGAATAAACAAATTATATGAACCCCAGGTTGTTTTATGTGAGTATATAAAATATTTATTTAGTTTTATAATAAAATCAGAATCGCATCTCGTTATCACATTTTGGTTACGTTTTAAGTTTCAACATTGACTCTCTTCATTTTGTTGTCAATTTAAATAGAGGGAATGAATTGATTAATTAAGAATAATATTGCAATGAAATATCGGAAGCGAATATATGTTTAGTATGGGTTACTTTTATGCACGCACACTTGGATATCTTGAAATCTATCGAGGCTGCGAAGCATGAGCTATTCACTTCGTTTTCCTATGCGAGTCCAATTCAACGTGCAATGACGATCACAATACCAGTCTTAACGTCAGCACGAGCGATACTTCTCACATACTAATACAATGCAAATAATGATGGCGGTAACGTCTCGCGCGAGCTCTTTTCAAAGAGAGATTATGCAATAAACACATCATCAAGCCTTTGTTTAAAAAAAAAACGTGATATAGGAATATGTCTTTCAGACAAGTCTCTATTGCTTGGTTCGTTTGAAAATTTCAAGTACGATACTCGCAATTATTATTTTAATATTTATATTCAAATCATAATTTTTTTAAAGAAAAGAAGAAAATTATTATGATATTTGAAGAACCGAAAGGAAAACGCGAACAGACTCCTCGTTCTTCAAGAATTTTTATTAATCTTTTATTGAGCGTTTTTATGAATTAATTCCTAATAGTGAAAAGCATTGATTCGATCTCGAATAAGATACTGGCTGTTACACTCTAAATTTCTTATAGTGAAATCTCACTCCAAGAAAGTGAAAATATAACCATCCTTAAAAAAAAAGTGAAAATATTTCACTTAAAAAAGAGTGACAATTTTCACTCTTTTTAAAGTGAATTTTTACTTCAAAGGAGTGAAATTTCATTTTTTTAAAATGAGATTTTACTCTAAAAAGAGTGAAAATCGTAATTTTTTTTCAAAAAGTGAAATATTTTCACTTTTTTTCAAAGGTGGTTGCATTTTCACTCTCTTGGAGCGAGATTTCACTGCAAGAAATTTAAAGTGTACTATTTCGGTATGTCCTTTAAATCACAATTTTCAGAAAGAAAATATAAACGATTTATGTTCGAAAAGAACTTAATGAAATGGCACGTCCCGAATGGAACGAACGTCCTCGTTCGTCAAGGATTTTCGTCGATCTTCCGTTGAGCGTTCACAAATTAATTCCCGATATAGTGAAAAGCATCGGTTCGAGAGACGTCGACTAGGTTGCGAAGGTCCGCAAATAAATTGTGTCTTCCCTGTCCCGTTCGTCGACTCGGTCTCGTATCTCGAAATAAAGAGCGAAGCGTAAGAGCCGGCCTCTCGGTACGGCCTTTTGTCCCTCTCCTCCGTTAACCCTCTCACCACCCGTTACTCCCTCCCTCATACATCTTTTACTCGTCCGTTCCTCTCTTTCTTCCTCTCTTTCCCTCTCTCTCTCTGACCCGTTAAAATAGACAAGGCTTCTTTCCCGGCCAAAGTCACAGATATATTACCGGCCAATCTTGCGCCAACGGCCTGTCCGCGAGAACGACAGTTTACCTCGGATCCGCGACGAAGTTGGTTCTAACCCGTGACGACGCAGACTTGTTTGCAATTGAATCCCTTTAGTCCAAATTTACTTTCTCGTAGACGGACATTTCGAATTCCATTGGGATGATACGGTTTCTAATTCTTCATTGAAGTCTCGCCGCGTTGGTGAATTTCTTTCCTATTTTCCCTTAATGTGCTCAATTTAATTAATTATCGTAATATTTAGCAATTACCAAATACAGCACTCGTCTTTATTATTAAGCCAGCGGCATACGAAATATATATTTTCTTGCTTGATTACTTGTATTTTAGTAAATTAAAAATTATATATTCTGTGTGGTGCAATTTTAGTAATTTATTAAAACGCAAGCAAGAAAATATGCGACGTGCGCTGCTGAGTTTAACTTTTTTTAAAATTAATTTTTGTCGACGTCAGTTTAACTTCCTGAACGTTAATGCAGCGTATTATAGGGTGATAAGTCGTCGAGGGGGAACTAAGACACTGTGAATGAGATAAATATAAGATAAAGACTGGGAAGAATAATCGATTGTTGCTATTATTCCGTTTATTGATAATATGTTAAAAATATGAATGGCGCGCGCGACGGTGCTCGGAAATGCGACAGCACGTTTCTAGGCGTGTGATCATCGGGAGCGAATAAAAATCGCGCAGAGGAACGCGTCTGTTAACAGTGATGTGTAAAGGGCATCGAAATGTCAATTCGCCACTCAGTGTTGCGTATGATAATTGCGTGCAGATTAAGTGGGTGTTTACCACAACGGCGTTGTCAGGCATTTAAAAGTGATGTTCGTGACACAAGCGACGACCCGGACATCTTTTCCGTGTGTTCTTTGGAGAATGCGTGACACGTCGGAGCAACGGGAACGCGATCTGTCGGCGAGAGATAGATTAATTACTCGATTAAATGGGAGGCAGTCGAATTACGAAACGCCGATTATGGACGTAATACTCGTGCAACTTAATCAGCCCCTCGTTGTTGCTTATCGTATAATTAATGTGCGTGACCCGAGTGGAATTGGAACAACGTAACTAATCCGTCTCTTAATTACTTCGCGCAGGACGATTCGTAACTGTTTCATTCCTTGGAGCTTTTAGAGCAGTGATGTTCTACCGTTTATCATCTCATTTATCAGATGAAAATATCCGTGAAGTTAGCTCTGTACTTTCCAAATATTTTATCTTTATTAATTAATAAAAATTGATCGAATACTTTGCTGAGGCAATCAATAATACGTATGTCGAGGAAAAGTTCGTATAAGACATTGATCGAGCGGATGCAACCAATTATTAATCGTAATTAACCGAACATAATTACACGTTAACATAATTACTTATAAATAAGGCTAAAATATTCTGCAAATATTTGATTTAATGACGTATATTTGCAAGACGGCTGTGCCAATTTGTTCAAATCGCGCAGACTTTCTTCTGTGCACAAAGCCGCAATTATTCATTACGGAATAGTAATTGCGGGATGATCTCAGAAGATTCCGATACGTCGCGATACGGAGTGATATGCAAGCGGATGGTTTGTAGACGTAACGTGTTAAACGATCAAGACGCGATCAGATGAAAAGGATCGTTGCGTTTACTAAACGTGTGCAAGTCGCGCGTATATGAACAGAGAAGCCAAGAGAGGAGGCCGTATTGTGCTCGTGCAAGTTTACTCGCGCGTGTGGCGTTAATTAATGCGCGAACCGTGTCTGTTACCACCCCGTCCACCATCGTGCAAATGCATCTCTGCATCTCCGAGATAGAAGGGCAGATAAGATATAAAGAGCATGTCGCGCGATAAAATTATCATGCACCGCGAAATATAATTTCGAGGTAGAACAATTTCCGCGTAGACCAGTTAAATTTTCGGTGTCATGAATGCGCGAACATACAATCCCGCAATTTTATTCGCAACAATGAAAACGGAATGCCTGGAGGTATTTCTTTCTCGTGCGATTGTACAATCGTCATTCCACTAGAACCGCCGATGGTGCTATTTTGGTTAAATATTTCAATGTTTTTCTTGTCTGTATTAGAATATTGGAGATACGTGCAATGAATATACCTACTATAATACAAATAATTCTAACGATAACAAATAATATTATATAGTCAAAAAACATTTTGTATTTATGTTAGAACGGACCATTCAAGTCTTTGTTAAACTTTTGTGTTGAATTTTTAATATATTTGAGTGTTAATTTAACATAATTACATCATGTTATTTAAATGTTTTGTGTTAAATTGATATTCAACATTTCTTAGTGCCAAAGCAACACAATTTATGATAAATGGATAAATAACATAAAAATAATGTGTTTTAAAATGTATAAGTTCTAAGATGAATGAATGAAATACGCGTTAATTTAACATATCACAAATATTAATTTTATTTAAAAAATATTCCTCCACACAATTTGCTTACAAATTTTATCAGTATTACTTTTTTGTATTAATTTTTTTATACAATATTTGTTCTTGACACAATTAAAATGTAATAAAATATTCATTTTGTATTAAATTAACACGTATAATACGTTAAATAAAATTTTGAATGGACCGTTTGGGACATGTAAAATATGTTAAATTTAATACAAATTTTCCAATTGTGCAAAATAATTTTTCATTAAAATTACACTGAGAAAAATTTCCGGGCTTTATCCGTTCAAAAAATAACAAACGGATATTTCCGATTGATTTTGATCGGATAGTCCTAAAATTTGATCGGATAGTCTTATAAATCCGATCAAAATCAATCGGAAATATCCGTTTGTTACTTTTTGAACGGATATTTTTCTCAGTGTACCGAAAACAAGAAAATTACCAAATTGACGCCTTCAACGGTTCTAGCAGGACATCATCGACGGTTCTAGTATTAACTGTCAATCATCGTAGATGTTTACACAGTTTTAGCGAATTTCAGTAATTCGCTAAATTGAGTACATTTTTTGCACACGCAAATATATTTCACTATTCGCATGGCACACGAATCGAAAATTAAATTAATTATTTAGTTTAATCGAATTTCTCGTAAAAGTATTTTAGCAAACTATTTCGATTCTGCTCAATGGAATGTTTTACATACTCGTGCTTATATATTGAAATGGGCTTGCGTACCGCAATGTTTTACGATTCTACGGCCGGTACCGTGCTCCGCATGTGCGGTGTACGATAAATTTTTACGTTATTACGTTTGCCATTTATTTTCGGACGTGAAGTCGTTCGCGGCGTATCGCTCCTACCGTTTGAAAACGTCATTTATGCGAACGATAATTTTTAGACGCGCGGTACATAACGCAGATCGGCGTAAGCGTAAAGATAGCGGTCTCCGAAAATAACGATGCGACGAACGCGACAGGAAATGTAGCAACTGGGTCGCAAGTTCATCAGCGCTAATTATTGCTAATCGGAACATCTCACACTGCGAACATATAATATTTCCACGAGACTGCGTCTTGCTGCTTTCGTGACAGATAACTGATCGTATGCATGAACTTCGATCGATGGTCGAAGCTCGTCAACAAAAGTATCGTATGGAGAAAAAGACGACACATGTTGTTAAAAGTTATTTTCAAATTAACATATTAATTTAAATAGTTTTTAACTATTATAGTTATACACTCACACACATCAGTAATAAGACTAGTATTTAGATAGTTTGAAATATGAAAGCAACGATTTGTTTTATGATGTTTTAAACGATCTAGGTTTTAGCTATCGTAGTTTTGATCAGCCATGCGTTACATATAGTCGATTAATGAATCGTTTTCGCAAAGAAAACATATTTGTTATTGCTATCAAGTGTTTACGTGTTTTATTTATAAAAATGTGATATTTTAAGAAAGAGAGCGGACTTTAGAAACTTTTGCAAGAAAAGATGTTGTTTTTCAATCCAAGTTTTATCATAAGATAAGAATAGAGATACGTATTATTTTGCAGATAAATTTCTCAAAACTTTATGAACTTTCATCTTACAAACGTTTCTATTTAATCTGTTTATTGTAGTACTTGTCATATAATAAGATTATATATCAAATGCAAATGTTTCAGTCGAATATTTAATATAGTTGAAGAATTTAATTGCGCATCGTATTTTCACGAAAGTTTGCTTACAATTTTTTAGCGGCGTCTCTGAACGAATTTTAATACCACCGAGCTTCGAACCTAAAATTTGCGTCAAAGCCTTTGCTTACCGTTGTCGCGGATAATGTCTGGAGAAAATTCGATAATTTTATGAGACAACAAGTAGTCCAGAAGAACTGTATCTGGCCCTTGTGCTTACCGTACCGTGGCACGAGTTACACGACCAACCTCCTGGTACCGTATCGGATTATACACATCGTTCAGAAAGTAGTAAAAGTAATGTAGGACCTCGGTAGGTGGTCGAAAGGCAGAGAGGAGGTCGGCTTTTCGCTCCAGTAATCGCGAATCGTTTGTTGTACAAGATTTGATACTTTAAGAAATTCGATACTCTTCTCTGTCCGACATTCTTCTCAAATATGTGTCAATTTTTCAACGTTCTTACAAGTATATGTCATGTATATGTCAAGTATATGTCATGTATTGAACAGATCATAAACTATGGACAGTTCTTATGAATATTGATTAAAATCGATGTGATTCTACATTTTATCCTAAAGACAAAATCAAGAAATGATTTAGAAGAGACATCGTTTAATTATTAATGTGCGAAATTATTAAAACGCGATTCCGATATAATAAATTTATACTAGCTTATTGACATTTTTACTTTTTTTTTTTTTCTTAATGTAGACTGAAAAGTCTACCTATAGAGACATAGAACGCTTTTTATAAAAACCGTATATATGCACCTAAAAAAAAAATAATTTTAATATTAGCAGAAACCGCTAATCTTAGAGGATTTTATTCTTATATACGGCCTCAAGAGGAATCTTCTGAAATCAAGAGGAAAATATGCTAAGCACAATATTCTTACAGTTAAAGTACTTTCGTTTTGCATCTGCAGTAAAAATCTTGCTGTTCCTAATATAATTTACTCGTAAGAGGGCATTCCGCTTTCAATAAATATATTCCTCTTCATACAAGAGGAAAACTGTTAGAATAATCTCCAATACATTTTTTATGAATAGTCCAGTGTATTAGAAGAGGAATACTCTTTCTGTAAAAGTTTCTGCTTAGAATATGAGGTTACCGGAAATTTCACTTTACAATTAGATTATTTTTTTTTGGGTGTGTATAAAGAAATAATGGAAAAAGAAACAACTTTCGAAATGGTATGAATTATCATGTTTTTTTAACACATTATATTCAACGTGCATTATTTTATCGTCACGGCCTCTAAATATATATTCCAAAAAATATGAGTGTGAATTTGACATGCTACTAGTATATTTATGTATGTGATTATCGTGTTGATAAAAACACCATATAGGTGTAATTTTAACATTCTGATTTAAATATTAAAATTTTTATATTAATGCCAGCACGATGAGAATTACACGGAAAAAACGATTTTACTAAAATGTTAAAAAATTTCAATAGATACAGATCTGAAAATAATTTTATGGATCATCAAAATTATTATGGAGAAAATTCAAATATGATGAGAGAGTTATGTTGCATAAAGTTTTGATATATATTTAAGCAATCGATTTGAGCATCCTACATAATTATTTTGATTGTCCAACAAAATTATTTTCAGATCTAAATTTTGTATTTAGCTAAATTTTTAGATATTTTGACAAAACTATTCTTTTCGTATATATTTTACAATCATAACGTTAAATCTACACTAAAAGAAAAGATTGATTGAATATGGCATACCATTTTTAATTGGTTCCAGCAGCCAATTTTTTGTTATATTAGCCTATCGAAATCCTATACTGACATTGCGGATAGTCTAATGCAACAAAAAATTGGCTGCTGCAGCCAATTAAAAATGCTGTACCATATTTTATCATCTAATTTGCTGCAGCAACCAATCTTTTCTTCAGTGTATATCTAAATTTTTATAGTATATACATATATATGAGCAATAATTAAATACATAAATTAAGACAGTGTTAATTGTATCACGATTTGCATAGGACAATTAAAAATTTTTGCAAAGTAAGAAACACATAAATAATAACTCAGAAATTTATATAGCGACTATCAAGTTTCAAAAGTTGTCATAGTTACCGTCGCGGTTAAATTAGCGTAAACTTTGCGAGAGAAATTTTGAACACTCACGCCACACACAAGACTTGGAGGAACGGAGCTATTGCTGGTACTTGTCGCGACAGCCATTTAACGGCGTCATGATAAGTTTACGTCTGACATATATCGCGGGAGCGACGCGGAAGCGCTAGACGCAGAAATCGTGACGGAACATCCGACGCGTTAAAATAGACACCCTAGAAACTGACGCCTTAGTGTATCACTATCTGTATCGCGGCACAGTACCCGAAGTCGCGATGCATGTATCGCCGCACGTGTATATTTAGGTTCCCTGTCATCAGTTTCAACCAATCTATAAATCTTGAAATCTCCATTCGCGCGGCGGCTTTACACTCGATCAGAATTATTAAAGCGGCGCTGACATCGGAGAAGATGTTACAGAAGATTCAACTCTACTCTCTAAATTCTTTAGAATGGAATCTCACTCTAAAGAGTGAAAAAAAATTAAGCCAGTCTGGAAAAAGAGTGGCTCAATTTTCATTCTTTAAGAGTGAGATTTCAGAGACAGAGAGTAGAGTAACAATTTACTTTAAAAGTTTTAGAAAGTGCACACACATTACCCTGGTAGAAAGTTTATACATTTTTTTTATAGCAGTTGCTAAACAGTTATCAACTTCTGTCTAGTAACTGAGAAAGAAAACTACTTAGGATCCCAATCAGGATGTAACGCTTTGTTTACAGTTACTGCAAAAGTTGCGTCACATCTGAATCCATTTACTGAACAGAAACGTAATAAATAATGGATATTAAATTGATTAATAAGCAATCCAACTGCTCGTGAAATGGACAGAATTAAACTCTATCAAGTTCTTGTCCATTTCCTATTCAGTATTGGCACAACTGTAATGAGAATACAGTAATATTAGATAGTAACTGATGGATAGGTGACTAGGGAAACTGCATACATTTCTACCAGGGTACCCGCATAATTTTTTTTAACATAATTACTCGTGTTTTACAATAAAATAAAAATTGATAATATTTAATTTATTTTATTTAAATATACAATTTGCGCTAAAAATAATGTGTATAAATATACCACTTCTATATTTAACGAATTTATAAGAGTATCCTAAATATTACACACAAGTGTAATGAAGAGTATAACGTCTTTTAAAGTTGATTCAGATTAAGAAAAGGAAAGCGAGTAACTTGCTGAAGTAGAACGATGTCGCGAAGTTCGTTTTTTTCTTATTTGTTGATCTGAATCCAGTTTTAGATGTTCGTATTACAACTATGAAAAATAGGCCAATGTTCATAGTCAGTTCTTACATTTAAGATCGTCGTATAATCTTAAGACGATTTTATAATGAAAATGGACTATGAATACCGATCATAGTATATAGATTAATTTGGTATATAAAATATTATTCAATCAATGATTTTTTTATTTAGTTAACATTAAATTCTTACTATTTTTAACTATTTTCGATCGATTATTCAATGTCTCCGACATTATGACTTGATTAAAAGATGAGATAGGATGATAGGTCGCGCATAGAGACATGTCTTCTGGGAATAGTACTTAAAGCAAATTATCTTTCGCGAGTCGATTATCCGTTTCTGATAGAAACTGCTTGTCGCGAGCGATATTTTTATGGGGCGATATTGACCACGGTACAATGCATTCAGAGTCACCCAAGCTTGTGATCCTCGATATTATTTATCGACTAAAGTCTTGCTGTCATTTGATGTAGCTCAATGTATTGGCAAAAAATCAGGTCTCCCGTTTTTCCGTGAGCTCAATTAAACGTACCGTTTCTCAGTGGAAAGAAAAGATATAAGATCTTAAAAATTGCACGACTATATATTTTTATTAGTGCGCGATATAAAATCATTTTCTCAGAAAAGTTGTTAGCATTAATTTTCTAAATATTGTCTAAACGAACGCTGCTTGTAGCATTTTCTTCTAATTTTATGATTCGCATTTAGAAGATGTAATAATTACCTATCTACACTGCTAACATCGTGAATAGTGAAAGTGAGATTGAACAGTGAAAGTGCTTCTCTCATGACAAAATAAACATATTTAAAAATGCAATTCGTGCAAGTTTATGCTATGAACAACGACGCAAAGCCCATTTTGAAAGAGACTCAATTGTGGTTTTTTGCCTCATAAAATGCCACAATACGACGACAGCTTCCTCGATTCGCCGAGATTTCGGCGGCGAACTCGCAGTTATACAGTGCAAAAACAGTTTTTGCCCAAATCGAAGTCTTTTCACATCACGACCACACCTTTGCTGCTGGCCGTAACCAATCACGCTAGGACTCTTTCTGGCTCCTTATCGACCTACAACTTGAAAGGTAATTCGATTTAAAAGATTCAGGTTAAGGACGCGAGGCGATTTCACATTTTGTGTCAATGCTTATACAATAGTAAAAAAAATGCAAAAACGTTAAGAAATCATTTCCTATTAATTATTTGTCTTTGTTTTGCATGAATTTGTTTTACTTGTTTCTGTGTTACATTGACGTTGTTTTACGCTCGTATTTAATTTATACGTAGTTTTTGCTAAACCAAGTTTTCAAGTTTTTCAACTGAAACAAGTTTTGAATCATAATATGGTTTAGTAAAGAGATTTTTTAAGAATAATTTTGATATTTGTTAGGTCAAATTTACAATCGTAATTTAACTAAACAATTCTGATGAGAGAGAGAAGCTTATTTTGAAATACAATTTGAGTTTGTTTGATAGTCGAGTTTTGTAAGAAGATTATATGTAGACGTTAGTTATATCAATAATTAATGTTTAATAATTAATAATTAATATTACATAATTTTTTAATCTTGTAACATTTTTTCGGAAATAACTTTAGAAGAGAACGATTATATACTTATATGAGAAATCTGAGATGAAGTCAAAGAATAGATTTTTGAAACATTAAAACTAATAATTGTAAAATATTATTCTTTATTAGACATTTTTGTACTTTGAAAAATAATGTTGCATATAATACTTGTATTGCATGTATTGATTGAAAGTAGAGCGCGCGCGATACATATACTTATTTAAAATTTATCTTTTTCAAACTCGGTATGACATGTCAGCGATAAGTGGACATGCGCGCATATTATGTGCTACTTTTAATATTTATTTGAAGAATAAAGTATACAGGGTGTCCCGAAAGTTTTTTCCAATCACTTTTGTGTAGATAGAGTGGACTAAACTGAGTCGAAAAGTTTTCTACCATTTTGCAATTTTCGCAATAGTTAACAAGATATTAATTACTAAAAATTACCAAATATTGGTCTAGAATAATTTTTTACTCAAATACTGTCAACTTTATAGAAAAGCTGTATGAGACAAAAATCATTTATTTTCTTCTCATAAAGTTTTGAGAATTTTTTCAGAATTTTTTAATATTTATTTTCTCATGTTGGTAAAAATAAGAAAATGCAGTACTACAAAGTTGATGGAAAATTCTCAGAACTTTATGAGAAGAAAATAAATGATTTTTGTATGTTGCAGCTTTTCTGTAAAGTTGATAGTATTTCAATAAAAAATTATTCAAGACTAATATTTTGCAATATTTAGTAATTAATATCTTGTTAACTATTGCGAAAATTGCAAAATGGTACAGGACTTTTCGACACCCCTATATTAACCTGGACGCTCCACCATCAAAAATCAAGTTCGCAATAGGTCAAAAATTTAGTGCTAATTAGGTGCTAATTTAGTACCCTATTCCGAAATTTAGTGCTCAAACTGTTTAGTGGTAATTAAAAAAAATGGGGGTTCCAGCTTATAAGGCAAGCTGGAACCCCCATAAAAAAAAACATACAGGGCACGTATTCAAAAAATAAGTACACAGGAAATTTAGTGCTAATTTAGTGCGCCAAAAAAAATTAAAATATAGCGTCAATTCGAATATAGCGTTAATTCCAATATTAGAACGCTCTTCCGCGACGTATTACTTATTTTCACTGACTTAGAGTGAGAACTAAATTCAGATATGTATATATTTCGATACTACAATGTCTAAGGATTATTTTGATACCATAATCAATCGAGCACCTAACTATTTGACGATCGGATAACGAACTTTAGAGGGCGGCGCCCACTCTTCCGCGACGTATTAGTTATTTTCATTACAAACGAAATACTGCTTCCGACGGAGCATTCGTGAGCAAACGATGAGCAAACGAATGCAAAAAAAAATATTCGATTTGTTAATATTGGGGGGCTAGAGTAAAGTTGGCCCCCCAAAACTTAAATTTCGTATAACTTTTGAACTAAGAGTGAACGAACGAAAATTCCGACGGGGCATTCGTGAGCAAACGATGAGCAAACGAATGCAAAAAAAAATATTCGATTTGTTAATCACTAAATTTCGGGTTATGGTACTAAATCAGCACCTAATTAGTACTAAATTTGTGACCTATTGCGAACTTGATTTTCGATGGTGGTGGGTCTATGTTAATAGGGGTCTTTTCGACTCAGTTTAGTCCGGTCCATCTACACAAAAACGATTGGCAAAAATTTTTGGGACACGCTGTATATACTTTTATTTTTATCGAAATTATTTTATTTTTATTCTTTTCTATTGTTTTACATCTCGAGAACAATAAAATTATGTACTTTTAATAAGTTAAGAAAAAAATAAGATTAATTACAATATTTTTTGCGATACCTAACTTAATCAGTTTTTACGATTTATTAAAATATCATATAGTTATTGATTTGTTAAATTTCTGTAATTTTATTTCTCTTATAGTTAAAAATTTTATATAAAAAAATAGTAGATTAATTTATATATAAATAATATTATTCAGTCGGAAATAATGTGAAATGTAAATTCTCTTCTTTAAATAATAGATTCAATAATTATTTTAAATGAAATATCGAAATTGTGTAATTAACCGTACAAATTGTCACTGAAAGAAAGAAATAATTCGTGTGCAGCAGTCATAATTTGCTATTAATAATACGTGCAAATTAAATCACAAATTTTAATGTACAAATTGCTACACGATTTTCAATATTACACTATTATAAATTTCAATTAGAGAATAATATAATAATTATTTCGTTAATTATAGGATTCAAGTAACAATATCTTTTAAAACGCTCTCTCTATTGTACGGAATCAATTATTATCTTAGAGAATGCTAATAAGAATCCACAAATTAAAGCAAAATGTATGTGCTATAACTAGTATAACTCTTCACATAACGAAATCAGTAATAGAAGAAAGAAAATGAGAGAAATAAAATTGCAGAATTTTAACAGATCAGTAACTATACGATATTTTATTAAATCGAGAAAAACGATCAAATTAGATATTTATAGCAAAAAATGTAATTAATCTTTTTTTTTAACTTTTTACGAAAATTACGTAATTTCACTCTTCTCGAAATGTGAAAAAATAGAAAAGAATAAAAGTATACGTTATATTTTGTAATGAGAGAGGGAGAGGGAGAGGGAGAGGGAGAGGGAGAGGGAGGGAGGGGGAGAGAGAGAGAGAGAGAGAGAGAAAGAGACGTTAAATCGTTAATATATCGCAGGTCGGCGTTATGACCTTGGTATTTGTTTCGTAGTGTCGCACTCCGCGTATCATGTTACGCATGTTGCCGAATTATCCATTGAAACGAGATTATTTCCTGCAAGCTATTAGCGACTTAAATAATCCGTGCGATTAACAACGCGATCGCGTCCACTCTAAAAACATGCCAAACGGGATTACTTTGAACAATTATAACGGATAATTATTTTAAGGTGTAAGAGTTTCGTATTTTTTTATGTTAATTTGCCGTCACAATATACAGTGGCGAAGTGTGATTAATGTTAGGAGTGCCATGCAGTTATTCTGGTAATTAGCGTAATTGTTTTCCGCGTATTATAAATCAGTATAAATATTTAATTTTTTAATAGATATAACCGATAATTAATTTATTAAATATTTTACAAATGAATTGTGAAATATAAATAATAGCTTCGGAAAACGAAATTAAAAACATCATAAAGTGTAAATTATTTTATTTAATAAATTCTTATGTTAAGATTATAATATTGTAATTTTCATAAATATTCAGTTTTTGAATTTATTATTTAAATAATTAAATAAATAAAAAATAAATACAGGAAGAAGAAAGTAAAATGATACTGTGTTCAATAAAATATTAATTTATTTACTTGCAGTTTTTAAATCTAAAATTTCTATTTAAATTCTTTCATGACATTCACGTCTTATGGGTAGTGAAGACTGAAGCAGGATATTTCTGAGCTCTATATATATTTATATGAAATAAAAATAAATTATCTATAAAACACAGTAGGGGAAGATTGTTAATTTAGTCGTGCGACTTTATTTTCTCCTTCTTAAATGTCTCTTAAATAAAATTTGATGTTTGCGATTAAGTTTTCTTTTTAATCAAAATGCAACTGTACGAGAATTGTTGATGTCTCAACTGTCTCAAGATATGAAATATTCTTCTTATTTCATCTGATATATTTAAGATGCAACGACTATAAATACGGGCCTTAAAGATGTAATTATATAACAATTTATATTTAAATAGTTTAAAATTATATTTCGATAGTAACTATATTTACATAATTTTCTTGTATTTTTACGCACTTTTAGTCATTCGCGGATCTTCTTTCGTGATGACGGCATGTCGCATGTATTTTAAAATTAAAAATTTATTTCACAATAGAATCAACGTCATGTCTGGAACAAAGCCATTTATTCTGGCTCTCTAAATTGTTCGCATTTTGATCTAATCGTTCGTTCTGCTCATTATACCGTCGGTGTACGCACCGACAATTTGCGTAACTTGAGTTTAAATAATCTCTTAAAGTACATTAACGTCTACATTGTACGCATTATCACATTAACCCTTACGCGCGCGTGAAAGCATCTCGACGAATAATTACTAGTTCGTGCTGTCAATCATATTAAGCACCGCATGCTCATCGCAGGTACACCAACTTCGACCATAAGCGCTCCGTTGTTATTATGCGCAACGTCTCCCCCGCATATAGACACAACGGATACACTACCAAGTGATTTCCCTCTAGACTCGAAGCGCGAACAAATTGCTGTGTTCACTGTCACACGCGCGTCGTCGTTCATTTTCGTGGATCCATAAAACGCTTTCAATTCACGAGTTAATGGACGAAATGATTTTCGCGATAGCCGCGGGGTAAACATAAATTGCGAATGATTAGAGCGTAATAATATACGGAGCCTTAATGACAGGCTTGAAAGAAAATTAACGCCATAATATTGAAACATATATGTTGGCGTTTGAGTGATGAAGTACGCACAATTATTGATTATCTAAAGACACAATACGCTATA